GTATATTGTCTGCTTAATTATTGTGAGCATATTGTTGGTGTGTCTTTTATAAATAAATAAATAAATATTTATTCTATTCTATTCCATCTATCGTATAATTAGTTAAGTCAACTTGTAATTAGATGTCAAAATTAGCAACTTCACAACTTGACACTTATTAAATTTGTGATTTAATGTTGCTGTTAATTAAAATTAAATAAATATGCTATCATAAATAATAAGAAACACGGGTAGGCGTTATGATCAGTGGGCGTGTAATTCACGAAATGGTTTTGTTTGTTTAAAAATCTTTATTGAATAAATACAAGAACTTAGTACATAAAATAATACCTGGTAGGTATGTAGGCGTACTTATCTCAAATAGAGATGTCTCGAAGTCAACCTTGCGAGTATTTGAAAAAAGTTTAGACAAATACATACAATTTGTGCAATAATGTTTAACAAAAAGAAAGAAAAAAATCTAATTAACTGGTTTAGTCTGAGAATCTTGTCTCCATTCTAAAAATGTCGTGAAATAGGAGGGAATTCCACACCTACTTATATCCCTATATATTATGTATTTATTTACAATTTATTGCATTATTAAAAAAATCAGTAAATTTTTATTGGAAAGTAATACAAAAGGCGACTTTAAAAAAAGACAAAGTATAAGTGGCCCACTACTGTAGATATATATATATATATATACTATTATATAGCAACACATATATACAATAATATAAACAAATACATGCATAACATACATGCATAGCGTTTTCTTTCCCTTGAGTAATTTTTTTTTTTGTATTTTTCTAATTGAACTGTCAAATTTTAAAATCATTAAACGAAATTTCTAATGTAAGTAGTATATTAATTTATTTTAACATTTATTATATAAGTAGGTAGGTATTATATGTATTTATAGTGTATGTATTTATGTAATATTTTATTATATATTTTAATATTTTATTTAACTATATATTTGTTTATGTATTAATAGTTGTAGCACTTCAGCTGCCCGCTAACGACATGCTTTCTCACTGTATTGGGTTGACTGGAAGAGATCTCTGTCAGAGATAAGTCCACCCTTGCTCACAACATTTATAAATAGATTATTTTATATGTAACTTACAAGTGCAGTAAAGAATACATACTCTAATGATAATAAATCTGCAACATATTCTACCTCCATGCAGTTTCTTCTGAAAACTATCGTATTTATTTTTTGTGGAATTTTCAATATGGGCTAACTGATCTTACTGAGCTTTCATCCTTACCTATCATCATCTTTCACTGATGCCGCGCCAGCGATCGATCGATAAATCGATGTCATAGACAGGGTTACTATCCCATTTTTCCCTATTAGAAAAAAAATATTATAGATATTTTTATTTATTTAGATATCCATTCATACTTTATCAATCTACTTCTATTTGTGTGTCTATTTGTTTCTCTTTTTTTTTTATACAACTTAGAATGGCAAACAAGCTAGGATAACTGTCGCCTATAGACATGAGCAGTAGCATGGACATAACAGAGTATACTGTTTCGCCCATGATACCCCCTATGCGTTGCCATTCCTGAGGACTCAGGTGTTATTCCTCCGTACCCAGTAAATTTACGCCATATCCCACCCTTCAAACAGAAACACAGCCATGCAAACACTTTACGGTAGAAACACGAATGGGACAGAGGTACCCAAGCAATCGACTTTTGTACAAAGTCTCCTTCTGTACTGTTATATTCAATATGATTAAATTAAATTCTTCATTCCACGATATATCGATTTAGTTAACGACCTATTTGTTGCTATTGTTTAATTGTATCATCATCATCATCATATCAGCTCTTAACTGTCCACTGTTGAACATAACCCTCCCCTTGGGGGGGTTGCCAATAGTTGCCACGCTTGGCAGGCGGATTGGCAACCGCAGTCAGATTTTAGGTATGTTTTAAGAGGGACGCTGCTGCCCATCCCTCGCCCTCCCTTAGTCGTCTTTTAGGACACCCATAGGAAAGGAAGGGGTGGCCTATTCTATGCCGAGACCATACGGTTATTATTATTTATAAATTGTATAGGTATTATTATTTTATTTATTAATTAAATTAATAGGACCAGACCGTCCTATTTGAAAAAAGATAATTTGAATTTGACTTTGGTACCGCTTAATAATTTTTATTCACACAAAATTATAACTTCTAAAAATTTACCGTTTCGAAAAAAAAAACAACCGACTTTTTTCTCCATTCATCTTAAGTGAAATTACACTCTGAATTAGATAGTGAATTAAGACAGTAAAATCATAAAAAAAATCTATTCTATTCCATAGAGAATGTACCTACAGACATATTCTATTTTTAAAATTCCAATTCGGTTAATAGAAATTTTCTTAATCTTAATCTCAATTTGATTTACTGTAAACTTTGGATCTCGTATCAAACGCAAATAACCTTAGGTACTTACAAATTAATATAAATTGAAACATTCCGTAAGAACTTGCTTAGTAGATATTTTGATACCAAAACAAGAATAATGTTGTAGCTTTACGTTGAAGGTTGGCTATAAAAGCTGCCAGGTATTTGTTAATTTTGTCTTCAATTCAACAAATTTCTAATTGCAGACATATTTAATTAGAAATAACTATAAAATATTACAACTGTTTACCAGACCTACGCAATAAACGATAGCTAATTTATGAAATGCAAAGGAATTTATGAGAGAGAGAAGGGATAATGAGAGCAGAGGCCGCCATTGAATTGAGGGGAAATACAACAACGATATCGTACTTAGGTCATCACTCGAGAAATGAGTAGTACTTCAATTTATACAGAGAAAGGGTGAAAAGGGATTAAATTAGGACATATCGTAATTACTCGACTTTTGTTGTATTTTGTTGATCTACTCTCATCCTCATCTTTATATCAACCCTTAATTATCCACTTAAAAAGGGGATTTTACCAGTAGTTTTTTTTTATAGGTGATAATGAAATAGTAACCCCACCCGCGCTATCGGTATACACCGGTAGGCACCAGTGAAGGATGATAGACGAGGATGAAACAGGTCAGTTAGCCCATCGTGACGAATTCAACGAGAATTGTTCACGATGGTTTCCAGGGACCACGTGGAGGTTGACCTGATGGGGCATATTGCTAGCAATGGGGCTGTCAAACTCTATTGCTGACAATCCCTTCCCCCCTTTGCCAGGCGTGTTGGCAATCGCAGTTAGGCATTGGTGATGTTTTATGAGAAGGGCTCTTAGAACACTCACGGGAAAGGAAAACGTAGACCATTCTATGCCAGGATTACACGGTTCACAATTCTCTGGTATAACATGATATATTTAAAAAATAGTAGGGTTCTAAATATGTCGCCTGCACATTTAGTTATAGAAGTAGCTAATGAGGTTTTTCCTATAAACGGACACGTTTTAGACCTATTTGTTTCTTGTATGAGTTAACTTAGTCCAGCTTAATTCAGAATGTGAGAGCTGGTTTGGGTTCATTAGTCTAGTAGCGATTACCATCTAAAGTACAAAGACCTGACCGTAATAGATAGAGAAATCCTCTGTTTCTGTAGAAACCGATGTTCAGGATATTTAGTCCTATAAGATCCGTTATCTGGTTATCGACTTATCTGATACCTGTCCAATCTGGACCTAATAAATTATGTTTAATCCTAACAAAATTTGTTCTTTATCAAAATCTAAATCATATTCCCAATGACCTTTCTTCCCAAACACGAAAGTTGTAACAGCTGTTATGACGTAGATAGATAGATAGATACTCTTTATTGTTTCCTCCAAAAGATTACAATAGTAAACTTATTATAGATACAAACAATTACAAAAAATGTTCATATTGGCATCATAACTTTCAAGGAAAGAGCATATTCCTTTTAACAGGCCGGCAGCACACCTGTAATGCCGTTGGTGTTGTGAGTGATCATGGGCGGCGATAGTCATTTACCATCAGGTGAGCTGCTGGCTCGTTTAACCCCTGTGTTATAAAAAAAACTGAGAAAACAATGTGCAGCCTTATCGCTAAGGGCGATCTCTTCTAGGTATGTATGTACCTTTGGATGTAATTATAAACAGTTTGATCGGAAGCATGATATATGTAACATGGAATGACAGTCCATCTTATGACAACTAACTATCTTCTATAGAAATAAACAACACTGTGGATATCATGGAACATACTGTGACGCCGAAGGTCCCTATTCTTGAGGATCAAGAAATTATGCTTGCGTATCCAAAAATTTCCCATCCTTATAGATGTACTATGTTATTTATTTTTTTAGGTATATCAACAACATAAATACATATTTATTTATTTACATGCAAGCACGTAGACGACAATTATTTGATGTTCCATTGCGAAGAACAGGATTGCCTAAGCAAGCTCTTCTATCTTTTGAATTGAAACTACTCAATGATTGAACCGGTATCCACAACTGGATGTATTTGCCTCCAACTTGCTGGAGTTTCGTCGAATGACCACATGGCGTTGGTATGCAGAAATTTAGAAATTAAATTTATATGTATATATAATATATAATATATATGTATTATTCCTTTTTTATATTGTACTGATGATTTCCTGTGTGAGCGTATTGGAAGACAGTAAAGCACATCCAGTTGATGTAATAAATAAATAAGCAAACAAGTAAATAAATACATACGTACATACATACGCACGCACGCACGCACGCACGCACGCACGCACGCACCGGACGGATCGACGGACGGATAGACGGATTGATGGACGTATCGATGGGCGGATTGATGGACGGATAGACGGACGGATAGACGGTCAGATAGACGGACGGATAGACGGACGGATAGGCGGACGGATCGACGGACAGATCGACGGACGTATCGACGGACGGATAGACGGACGGATAGACGGTCGGATTGACGGACGGATAGACGGACAGATCGACGGACGGATAGACGGACGGATAGAAGGACGGATCGACAGACGGATCGACGGACTGATCGAGAGACGGATCGATGGACGGTTAGACGGACGGATCGACGGACGGATAGGTGGACGGATAGACGGACGGATCGACGGACGGATCGACGGACGGGTCGAAGGACGGATAGACGGACGGATCGACGGTCGGATAGACGGACGGATAGACGGACGGATAGAAGGACGGATCGACAGACGGATCGACGGACTGATCGAGAGACGGATCGATGGATGGATAGACGGACGGATCGACGGACGGATCGACGGACGGATCGACGGACGGATAGGCGGACGGATAGGCGGACGGATCGATGGACGGATCGATGGACGGATCGATGGACGGATCGATGGACGGATCGACGGACGGATAGGCGGACGGATAGACGGACGGATCGATGGACGGATCGATGGACGGAGCGACGGACGGATAGGCGGACGGATAGACGGACGGATCGATGGATGGATCGATGGACGGATCGATGGACAGATCGACGGACGGATCGACGGTCGGATCGACGGACGGATCGACGGACTGATCGGCGGACGGATCGACGGACGGATCGACGGACTGATCGGCGGACGGATCGACGGACGGATCGACGGACTGATCGGCGGACGGATCGACGGACGGATCGACGGACTGATCGGCGGACGGATCGATGGATTGATCGACAGACGGATCGACGGACGGATCGAAGGACGGATAAACGGACGGATAGACGGTCGGATAGACGGACGGATAGACAGACGGATAGACCGACGGATCGATGGACGGATAGGCGGACGGATAGATGGACGGATAGACGGACGGATAGACGGATCGATGGACGGGCGGATAGACGGATCGATAGACGGATCGATAGACATCCGTCTATCGATCCGTCTAGTAAGTAACCGGTAAAAAAGTTTGAAAGTAGTAATTAACGTAAGTGACCTAAATTAATCAACGTAACTTGAATGTTTTATCTTATACACACTCGCGATACAACCTCTGTGCTAGGCAGTAGATTCAATATACAAGTTTACATTTTATATCTTGAATTATTCTCATTATTTATGAGTACCACCTCCACAAACCTAACTTTGTAAACCGTAAAGGCCTAACTTTGGTTGTTCAATAGTTGCCCAGCCTGTTAAGCGTGGCAACTACTGGCATAACCCCCTAATTTTATTTATTTATTTATTTATTTAACCATGAATAATTACATGATGCAGACGATACTCAAAACAGTTTTGCTGAGCAGTCACGCTGGACTTATATAAGATCTATTTCGAATATCCGCATCGGAATCACATCGGCGGAAATTCCGCGCGGCGGAAATGAACGCCCCGAGGTATCCGGAGTTCGCGGATGACTGCGAATTAATGGGTTCTCTTCTCTATATTTCATCACAGAATATTATGGGACTTTTAATTCGAATTAGTTTTTAATCAATTCAAAAACAAAAACCAAAAATTTGTATTTTTACGAACGCTGCGCGAACGGAGGAGTATGAAAATTCGTACCCTTATAGTTTATATAGAGAGGGAGTGTAGTATGCTAATATATTATTAAATTATGCTTAAAAAATACATTAAATGAATAAGAAAAGAAAAAAAAAAACACTACACACATTACCACGTATTTGACACACGCACGCATATGTATATATGCGTGCTTCTTTTGTAAAAATAAGTATGGTGTAAAACCAATTTGGATAATAAAGAATTTTCCAAATTGGTTTACAACTGATGGAATTATGAAATATAAAAAAAAAGTACAACCAAATAAAGAATTCCTTTTTTAACTCAATCAGTCAAGTTGCAATGATAAGTCGATAAAACATGTGGATAAACTTAATCCTAGCCATTTTCAGAGTTCAATATTTTTCGATCAGCCAACACTGTACTGGGACTGGATCTGGAAGTTTACATATCACTCTATTTCAACTCTTATTACACTGCAATAAAGTTACATTTACTTTGACAAGTATTTATTACAATTTCAAAATAGGTCGGCTGGTTGTCGAACTTTTGATTTGCTGCTACTTTAGTCCTTATTCCCGTGTGTAAAGATCTAATATTACTTGTTGTTGTTGTAAATGTAAGTTTGCCAAACAGGTGATCAGCTTGGGGATCGCTCGGAGGCATAGCAGGCGTTCAGACAATATGAAGTGAGAAGTTATCATATGCTCAGTGTTTTATGACTTTACGACGTATAAAATGTGTTTGGCAATTTAGTACCAAATATTACAAAATGAGTAAATTTCTGTGTGCTAGAGATCTGAATGTTAATCTAAGGCTACGTATATTTCGCTGCTATATAAACATTCTCTGTGCTTATGTATTTTTTTTACTGGATGATAATGGAATGGTGACCCGTGTTGTCGATCCTTAAAAAAAACTTCTTTACGGGGGGTAAAGAAGTTTTTTGAAGAACCTCATGCTGTAGTCTCTTGCGTAAACCTCGACAGGGAACTCATTCCATAACCTGAATGTTCGTGGGAAAAAAACATTTCTAAAACTGCGTTGTACGCGACCATCTAGGCTGTAGGGTATGAGGGTGAACTCCCTGTCGATGGTGAGCCGTTTTCGTAAAGTTTATGAAATAGATTATTGTTGCAAAAGAAGGAAAGTTCGAAGTGTAAATCTGTATTAAGCCGCCAGGAAGAAGATTGTTGGAAGATTGATAGGGTCCAGTGACCTCATTGCTAACGATATACCTCGACAAGACGACTTACACGTGGTTTTTACTGAAATCCATCGTAGTTAATTATATAGTCCACTATTCGTTATGAAGACGATGACAGCTAGACGGTTTGTGATTTTTTTTCGAGGAAAAGACACGCATATGTTTTTTTTTAATGGGTGAAAATGGAATGGTAACCTCGCCTGCGCTATCGGTATACGGTGGCGGGGCACCAGTGAGAGATGATAGGTGAAGATGAAAGCAGGTCAGTCAGCCCTTTGTGAAGAATTCCGTGAGAATTAACCACGATGGTTTCCAGGGGGAACCGCGTGGAGGTGGACCTGATAGGGTATGTTGCTAGCAATCCCATTACTAACAATCCCTTTCCCCCCCTAAATATACGCATATGTTAATGATATTATTATATACATATACATATAAGCGCCATGTGGTCTCGGTATAGATTAGGACACTCTATTAGGGGTAAGAGACGACAAAGGCAACTTAATAGTCGAGGGACGGGCAGCAGCGTCCCTCTTAAAACATCACTAACGCCTAACTACGTTTGCCAATCCACTTGTCAAGCGTGGCAACTACTGACAAAACCCTGTAATAGGGCAAGATCTATATTCAGGAGTGGTCAGTTTACGGCTAACATAATATAACCATGTTAATGATATAGGTATGCTAGCAGGATCCCAGTGAGGTATGCTAGGTGAGGATGAATTCGTGACAAATTGAGTAGGAAGTAACTGCAATGATTTCTAGAGGAAACTTGTGGAGGTCGATCTGTTAACCATATATTGTAAAAAATAATAGAAACTAGAGTTTCCAATTACTGATAATCCTTTTCAAAAAACATTGATTTGAAATTTTGTTTCTAATATAAGCTCGACAAGATACTGTACTGTACATCTATCTATTTACTGTATGGATAATCTGGTAGTCTTATTTTATTGTTACCCTATTCCCCTTTGGCCGCAACAGAATATCAGTGCTTTGCTCTTTTGAGGGCGAAGCAATAAACTGAGCTGTGGCCATTTTGTATTGCTATGGCACACTCACAAACGAAAATTGTATTTAGCTTTATGTATTTTTTTTTTATCATTTATGTTACCTCACTTTTTTTGTATATGTATGTTGTAATTTGTGTGCTGTAAGTAAGTAATGCAAATAAATTATCTATCTATCTATTTATCTACCATAAAAACACAAATGTTGCGATAAACACCATTCTCGAAGTCGACAAGAGAAATTCATAACAGCTTTTCGTACGAGCGAGAATGAAGATAAAAATTCAAATGAACAAAAAGTAAAGTAAAATAAAAGGCGTTGAAATGGAACGTTTATCGTTATTTTTGGTAACAATCGTTTCGTTATCGTTATTTTTGCGAACAACAGCCTGTAACGGAATATGGTCCCATTTGGGCTAAACTGTTATAATGAACAGTTTTCGCTTAGTGCACGTATAATGTTTGTTTTTATCGTATACTAGTTTTCGCCCTCGACTTTGTGCACGTGAATTTAAAATAAAACATTGAAATAGTTCACTTCTGGATAACGTATGTAATAAATTCTTTTTTTTTTCTTTCTTTCTGTCATGATAAAACGTATATCAAATTTTAAGATCGACCTTTTAAAACACAATTGTGAAACTGCATATAATTTGGTGCAGTAAAATTTGCGTGTGTGTTTGTGTGTGCATTAGTTTAAACATTTGAAATAAGAATATGTATCATCGACTGCAGTATTTTCTATTATATTTTCCAACAAATGGACACTAACTAAGCGTTAATAAGTTAAGTACATTTACCGGGTACACGGCGCCACATGCTACCGCATCCTACCATAGTAATAAATATTCCGTGAATCTTATAATTATACCTACTCCTCAACGCTTCGTTTGTGTTTATAAATTAAAAAAAAAATAAATAAACAGACTTCAAAAAAAAAGATGGAACAACAACTAAAAAACTTACCTCTCAACAAATAAAATCTATTTATTTAGCAATTAATCCATCTACTCATTTATCTTTCTAACATATACATACAGGGGGGAAAGGGATTGTTAGTGATCAGGTCGACCTCCACGCAGTTCCCCCTGGAAATCATAGTGGTTAATTATTGTTCGAATGGTTACTATGGGCTAACTGACCTGCCTTCATCCTCATTTGTCACCCTTCGCTGGTACCCCGCCTGTGTATACCGATAGCGCAGGCGGGGCTACCATTCCATCTTCATCCATTAGAAATAAAACATATACATACACTTTTACATTTCCCATTCGCATATCATACATACACATACCCACACATATACATTTCCATCACATACAATTTCACTGAAGCCATAAATTATTGTTTCTCTAGAACTTTTTATTTCACTAAAACTTATTTGTTTCACTAAAAATGTAAAACAACAACATATAGAAGAGGGCACTAATTCCTGAAACACATATTTTTTCATACCTACCTCGGAAGTTAGGGACATCACACTATATTGTAACAATGAGTGATTCTTGGCAAGGAGCTCATTCCATAACCTGAGTGTTCGTGGGAGAAAACATCTTTGAAATCGGGCTGTACGCGACCATTTAGGCTATAGGGTATGAAAGTGAACTTCCTGACGATGGTGAGCCGTACGATGGTAGAAAGTGGTGCTAATATCATCATCTCCAGGATTCATTTTCTTCACGCTCTTAACATATTAAACTTTTTTCTTTTATTACAATATCACTGGCCATTTTGGTCAGGGCTTGCAAATTGCAAACACTGTATAAAAAATTTGCATTCACAGACACATATGTCGCGTGAGTTATGTCATGTTCCAAAATTCAAATAGGAAAAATTTGTGTAACCATTCCGGGATAGCTCCGCATAAGGGAAACACACGGAGTCACGAAGAAAGTATATGATTGCCACTTCCATCCAGTCTCATCTTTCATTAACTTTTTTAACGCTCCACCTACCTACTTATGCTTTAATCCTTTCTACCCAAAGGTTGTCTGGAAGAGATTGCTTAGCAATAAGACCACCTTTTGTACTACACTATACGTATTGAAAATTGTTTTAACAAATCATGTTATGTTGGTGCAATAAAGTGTTAAATAAATAAAAAATAATAAAAAAAAACTTTCCCTGTCTATTCTTATCATTTTACTCAAAGACGGTCAAAGGGTTTGCGTTTATAATAATGTTGGATCG